AATTTTGATTTGGCAAGTAAACTCAACTCCATTTGAAAAGAATCTGTAACGATAATATTTTATTCAACAAAATGCTAATTTCTCGATGGAATTAAGGTAGTTTTGAAATCTGACTTCAAATTATGAATCCTCGCATTGACATACCCCTTGGGGTGGCAGCATTCTCAAAAATATGTAGAAATGAGTAAGAACGAGTGGTTAGGTGTTGTTCTATTGACATGCTTATTTTGGATTTGACAGCAGAAGAACAACAAAATTTTTTCTAAATAATTTATTTTCTTTCAAAAAACGCGTCAAATTTGAAGTAAACGTGCTGTAAAACCCTTAAAATTTCCAATCTTATGTGAATTAATGTTTCAACTCATAATATGGCAAGCTTGAAAATCAAAATGATAATAATATTAGACAGACATTTCTTCCTTTTCAGAGAAGATGCTTCACAAAGATCCAAAACAGAGATGGGATACAATTCAGTGTCTTGAACCTTTGAAATATAGATATTAGGACTTTTCTATCTTGCTTAAGATTTAATAATATAAGATCTATCAAATCGAGCAATGTGCTTAACAGAAACACCAGATAAAATAGCTCAGCGTTTTGTTATAGAGCTCTTGAATGAATCATTCAAAATAGTATTGGTGAGATAATGTAGTCAATCCATGAATATATTCTTTATAAAATACACCTTTTAATATGTCCTTACAAGGTGGCCTTTTGTCTGGATTGTAATGTAACTTATCTTTCCATCAAAATAATCCTCCAAATTTCTCTTCTCTATCAAAATTTTCACAACTTGTTTTCCATACCACAAATCGATTTTGCAATCATCTAAATGTTTCACTAATTATGTTAAATTGTATAATATTTTGTAAAATGGACCAGTTATCCCTTCGCCTTTACATTTAAAGGAAAGATAGCATTGAACCACTGTTTTGAAACCAATGCACAATTCATTACAATCATCATGAAATGATAAAATTTCATAAATTACATCGTTCGAATGTTTCTCCTGTGAGTTGTGACATTTTTTGATGATGACAAGTTGATTCCTATCAACAACATGTTACTCCAATAGTTGTAAAAACAATTTGTAGAAAAGATATTATTGGTTCCTTCAATAGAACGGATAGGGTTGTTTTCAAAACATTCTGTTGAGAACAAAATTGGGAAAAACCTTAAAATTTCAAATCTTTCGTGGATATCATGATTAT